CGTTTGAAATCGTGATTTCTCGAAAACCGGAAGTGCTACATTACTCAAATCCGATTTGTAGTCTTATCAGACTATTCTTAACTTATAACTTGAATATTCTCTTTATCTATCTCTTACGGTTTGGCCGCTGAAACAGCACCACAGACGGACGGACGGACTTGTCTAATAGTTAAGAGATCATATTTGCGCTCAACTAGTAACTTCCAGACTTCGTCCTTTCACCCCCTTTAAGTACGATATCCGGAATAAGAGTTATTTTGACACAGAACTAAAACTATCTAGAAAAAAAACCGGCCAAGTGCGAGTCGGACTCGCGCACCGAGGGTTCCGTACAAACCTAATTTTTTAAAAATATTGTTTATTATATGGTGTTACTAAAAATTTACGGTTTTCGCAATGTTTCCTTTATCTGTACTAAAAGACGTTACTTCGTACCAAATTTCAAGATTCTAAGTTCACGGGAAGAACACTGTAGGTTTTGATTCCCGTGCGAGTTTTGAACACTTGCGGAAATTTGCGGCATAAACGGCTGTATCTTTTGATTGCTTTGGCATAGAAGGTTGATTTTTTTACAGCTCTAAACAGTATTAGATATGAATTTCAGTTTGATACCGTTCCTGAGAAAAACGGTCTTGACAGACGGACGGACGGACGAACAACAAAGTGATCCTATAAGGGTTCCGTGTTTTCCTTTTGAGGTAAGAAAACCTAAAAGTAGCTGAATCGGTTCAGAAGTTGAGGCGTGTTGAGGTAACAGACAGACACACTTTCCCAATTATTTAACTAGTATGGATTTTGACTTCTAAACAAGTTGGCATCCCTAAATACACACACAAAAAAAGTTCAAACAACACACATCATTTAAAGAAACTGCCTGTTTTATTGTTATTTTTATTCTTACCAAAGTAGATTGGTTTACAATCTCTTTTGTTCACGAAAATATAAATTGGTCGATTTTAAAAATAGAATCTTCTCGATTCAAAAAAGTCATTTCGGAAAACAAAAAATAAATAAAATTTTGGTATAGAACCTTTGCTAAGAAAAAAGTATATCAATTAATAAAACACAGTTTCTGCGAATTATGCGTGTTGTTATAAATTTTTTAGATGTTATATAAATAGGTTTTAAGGTATCTAAATATAACCTTGGTTGTCTTCACCTTCAAAGCTTTTAGCTCGTCCATTAATTTGTTACGCAGCTAATTGTTTATTAAGCAAACATCCAGTTTCGATAGGTTTTCTCTAATTAAATTATACTTAATTTAATTAATTAACACTCCTTGTTTCAAGTAGGCAGGTAACAACCAAATATTAATTTATGTTTAGATTCTACTAATATCATAAATGTGAAAGTGTGTATGGAAGTTTGTGATATTTTCACGGAAATCTAAATATATATATATATATATATATATAGGAAAGAATGTATGCTGTATGACACAGCAATAGAATGCGTGTGAATGAATGAATGTATCTAATTAATTATATTAGTAGCGATTACTGTTCGTTAGTCTCGCTAAAACTCAAGAACGGCTGAACGGATTTATCTTATCTTGGTCTTGAAATGTTCGTGGAGGTCTAGAGAAGGTTTAAAAGGTGAGAAAATATGGAAAAATTGCGAGGAAGATAGGTAAAAACGTCAATTTAATTTTCCTTTATAAACTGTTCTATCTTCTTTCCTGTCAAACATTTGACGTTCGTCCCTTTTGGTACGGTAGACTCGTGTCCGTCATTTCTTCCAAATTATTTTAACCCGTACGAAGTAGGTGGGGTCAACTAGTCTAGTAATAAATAAGACGGTAAAATGAGGGGAATCATTTGATACCTAAATTATGAAAATAAAATGGTAGCATTGGAAAAGGTGACATCGCTATTAACATGAACAATATATTCTGCATTATAAAGCATATATTTTGTAATATTGAACAATCTGAAAAAAATCTTCTGCCCCTCGCTTAAACAAGACACGGTTCGAACCCGGGAAGTCAGATATCGAACAGCAGTGCTATATTGTAAGATCAAACTCACTTTTCATCACGGAATTTACGGTGTGATTTTTCTAAAATTAGGACTCGAATTTGAAATTATATCATTAAAAAACAACATTGTTCTTACAGTACTAACACAGCAGAACTCACCGTTGGAAATTCTAATGATGAAAAGTAAACATAACATAACACACATCAATAAAAGTTAGCGATCATTACGTAATCTCTTTTTCTGATAAGATTCTAAATTTTAAAATTAGAATTAGAACGTAAAACAATAAAATAATTAAATTGTTTTTCCATAGAAAGAGATATGCAATCCAAGCTGACACTCATTCAAAAATCTGACTTAGTCAATATTATCGAATTTAAAATTATTTTTTCACGGAAAGTTGTGATATCAAAATCCCCGCGGACTATCTAATGTTTTACGAGCCAGAATTGTAACTTTGAGAGAAGAAGGCTATTCTACGAGACAAATAGCACGCAGAGTTGCCATATCACAATCCTGTGTAGTAACCACGTTGCAGAGGTACCGCGGCATGGGTAATTTAGCTGATCGACCCCGTAGCGATCGCCTAACTGTTTTGACAGCTGCACAGAAGCGCTACATCAGGTTGCTGGTAGCCCGCGATCCAACAATAAACGCCACTAAATTAAAAGCAGAAATACGGGCCGTCTCCGGACTTGAAATTAGCACTTAGACCATTCGGAATTGCTTACACAAGGCTGCGGGGCTAGGCTCCGGTAAAACGAAGAAGATGAAGAGGAAAACATTTTACAAAACTGCCTCTTCGTTGACGAATCGCGAATCAGTATTCATCCAGATAACCGACGTGTCCGTGTTAGGAGACTCTGAAAGGCAAAGAACGGCCACTGGAACGGTTCAGCAAAATCGGGAAATCAGTGTCCTTTTGGGGTGGTATTCTACCGTCCTCCGATGTGATGTGGCCGATTTTTCACTCTTAAGTTGCATCTTTTACAGTTTTTAATTATGTATCAATCTGTCTTTAACAAGTATTCTTATCTTTTATAGTTTAAGTCTAAAAATCCGTCATGTGATGAATAGTTACAAAATAGCAATAATTTTAAGGTTTACGCGTCGTTTTTTGGCCATATCTCAAAAGTTGTTACTGTCATTTAGCCGCGTTTTAGCTTGAGGACGGCAGTATTATGATTGGGACTAGAACGCCTTTAATCCCTCATCAAGACTTTATGACGGCAGACAGATACAAAACAGTCGCTATTGATGGAATCGTCAGACCTTTCCGAGTACACCATGGGCACAAATTTGTACTGGTTGACGATAATGCGCCCGCACATCGAGCTCAACGAGTCGATGATGCTCTCCAAGAATACGAAATCACATGGTAAGACTGGCCTGCCGGTTCTCCTGACTTCAACCTTATAGAGCACACGTGGGATGCTCTTAAGCGAGCTGTTTGAAACCGCCACCACCCCAGACAGTGCCGCAGCTCAGGGAAGCTGCTGTTCAAGAATGGGACAGGTTACAACAGGAAATACTGGATTACTTGATCCTCAGCATGCCCAGGAGGATCTCCGCAAGTGTTCGAGCCATAGGAAGTGTCATTTTGTATTAGATAAACAACAATTTATTAATAAAAGGTTTTTATGTTTGGTTAAACTATCTTTTTGTTTCTATCAAAGTTCTATTACAATGGCCTAAGGATAGAATTATTAAATATTTTATACTAAAAAATAAAATTAGTTTTATTTTTTAATTTCAGAAAGTGTATTTTTAAATAAAAAAAAGATATAACGTACACATTTTCTCTTGATTAGGTTAAATTTTGAAAATATATCAGCTTTTGCAAGTGATCACAAACTTATTTTGATGTGTGTAGGTAACATAGAGAATGTATGCTGTATGACACAGCAATCGAATGCGTGTGAATTAATGAATGTATCTAATTAATTGTATTAGTAGCGAGCTGTAAAATGCTGATGAGTTTCTTGCACCCACTCTTATTATCAACTAAACGTTGTCCTGAAGAAATGGAAGAAAAAAAGATCGATACAAAAGAGGTTTCAAGAAATCAATTTGAATAAAGTATAATTTTATTTATTCATTCCCTACAAATACACACATTAAATCCTTCATTTGTATTAGTATTTGTTCGTATGTACTTCATCCTTTAACAGCAAAGCGATAATAAATTACCTTTCTATAAGTACACAATGGCAATTAGGTTATTGACTTCGGCTCAAATAGACATAACAAGTCATGTTTACAGTATCAGTGTTCCGAACAAATAAATAAGCCTTCGTTAAATAAATTAAAAGTTCTTCTATTGTGAAGTAATCGTGGAATGTCACGAAAAAATATGAGACAAAAAGAAGCGACGACCCGTAGGTACCTATATACATATCAAAGTAAGCCCGTCCGCCAATCGTGCCATACATCGCTCGCATTTTATTAGCCAGCCTCGCGAACAAAGGAATCGATCGGCAGAAGCACGCCACCACGATAAATTACTTTTTACGCTCACTCCACAGAATTCGTGGAAAGCCCTATGCATGACCGATTCGCTAGCTGTAGTCACTCGAGACCGCAGCCGCCCAGCGCTCGCTCGCGTTCTTTCGGTGCGAACGAGAACGGCACACCTTCAAACTGGCCGCGACTCCTAGAGACCCGAGATACGACGTCCCTTTGCGAGCGAAGAGCGTATGCCTCGCCGAGAGACCGCGGTCCAAATATGCCAGGAACGTACGCAGCGCGGACCATAACCGATCCCGGTATAGCCAGCAGAAACTTTTCCATCAACGACCTTTGTCGAAAACAAACTCGTCGCGATATCGAAAACCGACAGAAGTCGTCGTCAAACAGCAAAATAGGAAAGTCGCCGAAAAGATACCCTGTGCCGTATCTGTTCAAACCCTTTCTATCCCTATGAAATACGCGGATAACAAAACTAGACATTCAACCTTCACCCCTCAAGCCACTAAATCAATCGATGTTAATAAGACTAAGTACTGTAATCCCCCCAAACAGGTCAGCGACAACAAGAGGCTGTGCGAGACAGTCCGCTGCGGGAAAGAGACGGAGAACAAACTGTTGGTGCAGATCAGCGAAGCCGAGCAAGTGTCGGACTTTGAAAGGATTCTTAATTGTAATGCAATACTGTGCGAGCGCGCTCACGGACACGTGTGGCGGCGTTGCTTCGCGAGTCAGCCCTCTGCGGCCGTTGTGCCGCGGCCTCGCTCTTCTTACTCTCTCTTCACCGTAAGCCAGACGTATCACTATCTCTTCCAGCAACACGAGGAATCTCTACAACCACTTATCGAGCAATATAGACAAGAGAACGCCGAAGATAAGTCAAATATTCCACAGAGTTTACTTGGCAAAAATTGGTACGAAAACCTTCAAGATTTGTCAGAGTTTTACGAAGACGATCAAGCTTTGCGACGCGAAATCGAGAGTATAACTGACCGTATTATATCAGAAGAAATTGAAGCAACAAACGAAACTCAGCATTCCGCAAGAAATAAAAATTTCAAAGTAAATTTAGCTGGTCTTATCGATCTTCACGTTACTGGAGAGGGCTGTTCCCCTATTTCAGGTCTCGAGGAATCAGGACCTTCGCCTGACGTAGAAAAGCAACTCGCAGATGAGGGAGAGGACGAGAAGGAATGGCTTTCACCGATTATGAATGCAAACTGCGATGATCAAAGCGGTCACAATAGAGACCCCAACGTGGAATGCTTAGTACAAGACCTGAATAACATCAAAATAGACAGTGATGCTAAAGTGCCGACGATAACATTCAGTAATTGTTGCGACGGTTGCGTCAAGAGTGATTCGCCGAACAATTCGGACGTAGTCATTCACTTGACCGTGCCCTCTATTGATAACATTGATGAAGCCCGACCGCCTATGATGTGACCTTGTTCGGTTCATTTGCTAGATTGATTTATGCCAACAATCAATTGGAATACGCTTAGCTCGTTGAAAAATGATTGCATTGGAATCAGAGCAACCGTCAATACCGAAAGACGATAGAATGCCGAAAGCTGAGCCGACGACTTCTCAAAGAACGCTGACGAGGTCGAGTGCCGTTAGTCAGAAGTCCGTTGAGATAACGGTGCATCCTGAGGGTTCCAACAATCCACTGCACAGATCGAAGCTAGCGCCGACGCGATCGTCCTCGGAGACTCAATCGTCAGGCAAGAAAATACTCAATCTCAGGAAAACGAAGAACTCATCTATAGAATCGACGATGAGTTTACCCAATCAGAAGTCTCTTGAAAAGAAACATGGGAGTCTTAGACATCAGAAGGCGATAGGAGCTCATTCTGATATAACTTTAAGCACGCAACCTTCGATACAGGACGATCGGAAAGCACTAAGGGAGGCGTTATACCAGGGTATATTTCACAGGCATAGAAGAACGATATTCGCTGTTGGCTCTTTTCTCAGAATGTTGAAGAGCAAAACGTCCAATTATGATTCAATAAGATCGGACTCCGATGAAATATAGCACTCGCAGAATGGTAAGAAGTGACTGTTGAAAATTTTATAATAGTTTTAATTAATAACAAAAAAAAAAGAAAATATATTGGTGCCACTGACTGAATGTGCTTTTTATAGGTAAATGAGAGAGTTACCAACTAAAATGTTATTAGATACTGTAGTTAATAAGTATTTTTTATTTATATTAAAATGTTCCTAATTCGTTGTGAAGTTTTGTTTTATATTATATGAACCCCGCTTGGAAATACTTCGCAATTAATTGTATAACGTGTAATGAAATGGTTGTTATGTAACGACCACTTATGGTTGTTACGGTTTTAATATGTACATTGGTGGAGTAACATTCTCTTATTCGATTGAACCTTGAAACATAAAGTTTTGAACCGGGTTCGCAAGTCGTCATAGCGTGTAGGAAAGTGGTCACGAGAAAGAGTTTCATGTTGAAAAAACTTTGATAAAAGAAAATTACATTGCCCTTGCTTGTAAGCAAATAGTCGGGGAAATTGAAGTGCAATAAAAAGGGCAAATGTATAAATGAAAGTGAGAGTAATTGATTTTTAAATAAAGTAGATAACAGGATACAAAACCGATGTAAAAATTAAATTGCTAAAATTATAATAAGGTAAACAACTTTCCAAGAAATGTTATAAAGTAATCACAATTTATTGTTTTTCATACCAAAAACTGTAGTATTTTACGTATAACGTAATATCTTTTGTCAAAAGCTGTTCTTATCATAAACACTAATAAAGCAACTAAATTATATTATTTGCTTTCAGAAATTCATAATTCATGTTAGTTGTGTTTCGTGACATACTGAAATTGATTTCTATAGACTGATGTACCTATGTATGATTTCAATAGATGACTTAATTGTACCCAATTTATTTGACACTCCAAGACGTAAATGAAAAAGGATTGTCAAACGTTTAATTAAAGGCAGTGTGTCTGGAACTCTGGAATGGTTAATACAAGCAACAGAGGTGAAATTCTAAATAGTAGGGTGGAGTATATTCAACCCTGTAACTATTGATGTATGTTGATGAAACGGTAGGGGTGTGTCAGGGTCGTCGTAAGTAATAATTGTCTCTTCCCAGTCGACTAGACTATATTCTTTTATATGTATTCTATAAATACAAGAAGTAAAAGATACAGTGACTTATTCTGGTTGAAATATCAGTTTATGTATAGGGAATTATTTAAATGATAATAACAATGCAATTGGTTTCCTAAAGTTTATATTAGGGATATGGTTGCCCACCCTACTATATAATATAGTATGCTACTATATTTGGGGATCAAATACTAAAAAAAATACAGTAAATATTCTTAAAAAATATATATATATTTTGCATAAAGCACACTTTTGCCAGTAAAAGATTTTTAAAATGAAAACCTAATTATTTAGATAGAGAGCAGCAAAAATATACTCATTTTAAAAAATTAAAAAAGTAAATATTTTAACCACATATTTTTTTTTGCCATCTACTATATTTTTGGAGGTAACATTGGAGGCTTGGAAAATACTTTAATTGATATAAAAAAGTTGGTTACCCTTACTAGGGGTAATGACAGGGTACAGTAAACGAAATTTTATTCAGACCGTCATTTAGATTTAAAAAAAATAATGGACCCTATTTTTTTTATATGTCAATCAACATTAAAATTGCAAAGATAAAGCGCATCAAATTATTTAAACATGAGCCTATTAAGGCTCCTTTCCGTACAGCAAAATATTAATTTTGCTGTACGGAGTATGAAAGCAGACTGGTGTCGATTCTGGCATGATTCTCTAAATCTAAACTTAAATTTGACAACAGTGTATCCTTGTCATTCTCTATATAGAAGGAAAAGGAGAGACTGATGTTATATTTAGTTTTAAGTTTAGAGAATCACGCCAGAATTGACACCACTGTTGTCATAATTAGTTTAAATTTAGAGCAGCATGTCCCACGGAATTAGGTTCAACTCAACATAGTTGTTGTAGTTTGTAACTAAAAGTGTTTATTCAAATCGGAGTTATAACAAGATTTTTCATTATTTCGTGATATGGAAATAAGTCAAGGTGAATATTGTCGAGCCGAGCGCCCTTGGGCTGGGCTATACACGCGATATCACTGTTCGGTGACCAAAAGGACCTATGTATAATCATATATTACAATGTCATTAAATATTCCCGAAACGTAATTAAAAAACGATTTGATGTATCTGCGTTTGAGAATTATAAGATCATTAAAACTTCCATGCATAGTTTAGTTTCAAATACTTGTGCTTTTATCAGGTAAATATTATTAGACACGAAATTTTGAATAACCTTTTGAAATTTTAAAGGACAATTGCTATTGTTTGGTACGGCTACACTTTCTAAAGTTAAAAGTTTAATTGCTTGTTAAGTAAATGAAATGAATACATTATTTCAGGCAATTAAATATTTACTCACAAATTTTTTCACGACATTTTTCCTAACTATAATAAGGTGATGTTACTCCATCTTTCAAAATTAGAAAATAAGAATTCGTATTAGTCTGAAAGAAATACTTCAAGAAACAGATACTTAACAAATTGCGAGAAATCCTGACAAATTCAGGTTTGAAAATCCAAAAACTCCAGATTTCAGAATAAAATAATTAAATTTTTAAGTTAACACTCGGCTAACCAAGATAGAAAGATTTATAAATATATATAAACGCTTAAAACCATTGCCGAAATGATTTTTATTTTTGTTTAATAGCACAGTGACTTGATGTTTAGATATTTTTTATAGACGCAATTTATAATGAGAATAAATCCTTAAGTGAAAAAAAAAATATTTGCTGTACAGTTTAACTTTGATTTCTAATGAAACGTGCTGTAATATAAAAGCAAACTAAAGTTATTTTGTTTAGTTGCATAAAATGACAAGGGAGATCTGAGAATTTCAATTAATATGAGACAAAACAGCCCTTGTTTGTAAAGACTCGAATGTCAAAAGGGCATCTTGAATAAATATCAAATGTCTATCATCCATAAGTAATGTGTTTAAGGCCTTTTATCTTTTGCTATATAAATTGCCTTTTGAAGTAAGATTCAATTCTGGGAAACGAATGTTATTTCAAATAGCAGGACCCAGACGTTATTATGGGCTCTGGATGGTTCCAGCAAAATGTTAGTTTACAGTTAGGTAACTACGACACATGCCATACGAATGATCTAGAATATCATTTTCCTCGACTGATATAATGTTGTTTACTAGTTGTGGTTTTTTTTGGATGAACCTTTAATGTTTTATTTAACGATTTGCCAAAATATTGTGATTGCAAAATTAGTGAATTCACTTGTCTTGTAGACATTTACAAAAAAATTAAGAGAAGTTATACACAGACTGCTGAAGCAGTTAGGCAGTGATCAACAAACACGGCCAGCTCGAGCAGCCGGAATAAACAGCTTGAAACTGTCATTTCACCGCGCTGTCCGCCAGAAGCAGTTGCAACTGCTCGAGCAGTGTGTGTACATAGCAGACTGTAGTTCACTAAGATAGTGTCCGACAGGAGCAGTGATCGTAATTTTTTTGGCCTGGGATGGGTCGCTGAGTGTGATAACACCGAGCTATACTTAGATTAAAATAAAAAGGGTAGATACGGTACGCTCATACTTGCATCAAACAAAAACTGATCCCACGGCAGCGCGAACGGGACGGCGAGATCCGCGTTACTGCATTACCGACCCGAACGAAACAGCACGTTAAGTTTCAACGGCAGCGCGAACGAGACGGCGAGATCCGCGTCACTGCACTACCGACCAATCACGCGACCAGTACTCGACGTCACTACCGAATAAGATTCAAAATAAACAGCAATTTTTATGAAAAAATATATTTTATAGTACTTACGAATGAAATGTGATGCTGTGGGTGTTATTTTTAGTTCTTGAGCAATTTGAGCACTTTTTAAAAACACACTTAGGCATTGTTTTATCATATAAACACAAAATATTAGCAATATTTCTTTTTGGCGTTCACATGTACGTCGTTTGCATGTCAAGTTGTGACTAAAGCGATTAGGGTCGTGGACCACAATTCATGCGGTCGCTTTTGTGAGGCTAGTGCCGTATCTACCCTTTTTGTTTTAATCTAAGGAGCTATAGGACGCTCGGTGTTACCATGTTTAGTGATTGGTTTGCTACTCTTATTTTCATTGATCACGGAAGGGAATTTCGATCATTGGTTCGTGTCGGTCATTGATGCCACTACCTTATGCAGTCGTAGCTTTAAGAGTCGTAGTAGTCCATACTGACTGCTTCAAGCTGTCCGTGTATGAGTGCTCTTAGTAGAAACCTAAATTATTGTATATATATAATGTGTGTGCTTTCTCTAATAGATTTTCATTTCTACTGTCCAAACACAAAGTTTTATTTTGGCCAAAGTTTATCTTTAATTGGTTGTTTGGTCTTCTAGACTGTCTGTGGTACCAGTTAAAACCAGCCCTAGTAAATAATACTCAATTAATAGGGCATCTAACGAACCTAAGGTATACGGAAATCGAGAGACGTCATTCAGTACATTGCTAGCGGTATCAACTCTTTGTGAACCTAATTACTTAAATGGTTCTATTAGTTGCTCACGTCTCGAACAAAGCCTGTTATTAAAGGCAGACCGAAGGATATAGTTACATAACATCACTCGGAACATAAGCTTATTGATCGAATGTACAGTTTTTGGACTGGTTTCCAGCCGATCCCGTCTTGACCTCTTTTCAGGTCATCGTACCAAGTGCCAACTTGCTTATGCACATGACAACAGCTTTTCTTGATCCAACTATTTTGTGGTATTTTTTGAAACAAAATCTTGTGTGTCATATTCATTACTTTTTGATGTGTAACATCTTTCCTCTCGCTTTCCTGCAATTTGTGGGAGTGATTTTGTAAAGTGGGACGGAAGTGTGTAACAGGAAGTCGCGAAAGCGCGCGCTATTTGATTTGATTGTAGAACATAATGTTCTAATGGTTTATTCTTTTGTAGTAGGTTTTATTTCTTTTTTTACTAATATAAGGTGAGGTTTGAAATGTTACACATCATACGCGACTACTGTAAGGCTCGCTCGTTTTTTGTGTATCAAGTTTGAAAGTTGTAATCTTACGTAAGACAACCTAACCACAAAATAGATAACATTATCTGTTCAAACTAACATTTTCACATTTAAGCAAATGCAAATTCAAAATTCGTTAAAATGTAAGAAATTTTGCAGCAGTTGCACCTTAAACATTTTAATAACACTAGAAAAGTATATAAAATATATTACAGAACTCTTGAATTAGAAATAACGTAACTGTTTTTTTTAATTAGGACCTCTATAAGACAGAATGACGCTAAAATACCAAACAAATTGAAATACTTACGATACAGTCTCTTAAAAAAGTAGGACAAAGAATAGCCGTTCATTATTGAAGTTGTATTGAGGAGAAAAACTTTTTACATGCGACTTTTAAAACAAACTTGAAGTATTTCTCTCAGACACGAAAGTGATGCTTCTAAAACGAATAGAGCTTATTTGCCCGTAGTTCCAATATCCAATCAAAACATATACAAATATATAGATATTATTATAATGATTATGGGTATATGTAGTTTTGTAAATTGTTTTGCGATAATTGTTAGGTATAAATCGATTATGGTAGTGGTTAGCGGCGGAACAATCGGATTGTTGATACACATTTTTGGAACATTTTATGCACTTTTTATATATTTGTACATCCAAAAAAACGTTTTTGTAATTAACGTGTTGTTGTGAGAAAAAAAAGTTTTATCGAAATCTGTTAGCTTGTGAAAAACTGTGCATTGAAAATTCTGTTTCTTAGAGATCACGTAGTTTGCATTTCGGAAATGTATGATTGTTTTTTTAAACATCGTTGCTTGTACCAAAGCTTTGATTTAAAATTTCGAATTTAGAACGATCAATTTTCTGCGCAGACTTTTCGCAAGCGTTTGTGGACATTGTAACTTTTTTATAATCAATCGTGCCAAGGCAAAGGAATCCGAAACTTACATTGTTGATAGTAATACGAATTTCTCACTCAGAAATTTATGAGACACCTTGAGAGCTGACCTGAAGGTTGTATTCGAGATTACTTGTATTCCCAGAGAATTGAATGTAAAAGCTTCAAGCGATGTATTATTCTACGCTCTTCAGAGTATGATTCGAACTCATTTCGTTCTTTTAATCTCAACTTTGAACGTTTTTCTATTTGAAATGAATTCAAAATGCGTACAAAATAAACATATTTACTTTAAATTATTTCCTACCTACGTATTTCAACTTCTGACGTTCAGCTCTTAAAATTTATTTTATGTAAGTACAATTGTAGTTAAATTGTATTCAAATAAGTTTTTTACATTTACATTAAAAATTTATCTGGGAATCTACATAAGTACTGCTTCACATGAAATAACCTATCCTTTGTACTAAGTACTAAGTACTAAGGATAGGTTTGCTAAGGTTTCATAACCAATCTTAACATCAAAACAATTGTAGGTATAATTTACGCGCCAAATTGGAAAAAGAAGCTTTTTTGTACAAACAAAGCTTTGTATTGATGTAAATATTGTATAGGTAGTTTTATTATGTGATTAAAAGAAAATTGCCTGCTTGGTTATAAAATTGTTACAGTTATTAAACGTACGTAAAAACATGAGCTTCGTAATTTTAATTACAGTGTTCTGAGTATGAGTTTTGTAAAACTGATGGCGTAACACTTTATATTGTTTTAAACTTTCATGGTCACTAACATTTTAGTAATATATTTTATTAACGGGATGTACCTTGTTTTTAGCGAGTTTCTGATATTTCGGCACTGTTGCAAGCGTCATTTGTTTGTATGTTACTCCGTGATCATGGCGCTTGCCACAGTGCCGAAATATCGGAAACTCGCTAAAAACAAGGTACATGGTAACAATGCCGTTAATAACATATATTATTACTAGCTGACTCGGCGAACCTCGTACCGCCCAAAAGTAATAATTTTCAATAAATTAAAATTGCGACTATAATTTGAGATTTAAACTATCCTATCTCTCAAGTTGGATCGAACTGCACATGGTGTGCGAATTTTATTATAATCGGTTAAGTGGTTTAGGAGTCCATTGAGGACAAACATTGTGACACGAGATTTATATATATTAAGATAATGGCGTAACACTTGTCATTATGGAATAGGAGAGGGTGAAATATACTGTGTAAGAGAGAGGTAGCGGATTTTCCTCTTGAATTGGAGCGCTCGCCTGGGTAAGTAACATCTAGCTTATAGAAGACCACAGTAAAATAACACTACCTTTTGGTGGTGTTGTCAGAGCCGACTTTGACCTATTGGAGGTCCAGGGCATATAAGGATAATGGGGCCCCTATGACTTCCGTTTGGTGATTTAACAGGAACTGGGGACTTTGTATTTGATCTGAGGGGGCCCCCTATCGATCGCGGGACCCTGGGCACTTGCCCAAAGTGCCCACTTGGAAAGACGGGTCTGGGTGTTGTGTTTCTTTCAGTGAGTAGGTTTCCAGGGTTTCATGGGGTAGGGGATTGGGTCAGGGTAGGAGACGGCGAGAGGGTTACTTTTTTTGTATCGAAAGCGTTTTAAATAGGCTAAGGAGGCCACTTACCATTAGGCGGGCGGGTTAGCGGAATAAAATCCTTTACAGGCTCCGAGTTAAAAAGAGTTAATAAAACTCGTGCTTATTGTATTACTACTGTGCAAGAAAACATAAAAACAAATGAGTTTGAACTTTATCTTTTATTCGCTACGTTGTCACAAGATGGCGCCTCTCAAATACCTAAAAAAATCACATTTATGCAAAAAGGTTTCGCAAAACTCACACTCGGCGCATAAGCCTCTCCTCACACTGGCGCAGAGTTGAAGCGATGCGACGCGACACGGTTTTCCGTGTTTCACCTATTCATATTTATTCTCTCACTATTAGGCGTTGTCGTCATTGCTCACGATCGTACGACGACTCGATGCGAACTCGTCGTGTGATGAAAATAATCGTATGATTACGGGGTGTCTTAATAAAACGCACGATGCCCAAGATAGCCCAATTGGTGACATGTCGCCCAACCTGGAGACCCTGGAGTATCTTTGCGATCCTGAAACCTTCTTTATCCATTTACCAGTGTTGTCCCTTGTCCCATAGTTAGCTGTGCAATTAGAAAACTCAAAAGAAAATCGGCGTAATTAATTACATGATCGTACGTAAAACCCATCGCTCGATCGTTATTAAATAATGCTTGCTTGTGCTCGTGCGATGGCTTACGAGCTGCAATTATGACACTTCTGTATGTTCGAAAATCATCGCACGGCGAAAACGCATCGTACGATTATTGCCAATTAGAACGACGCCTTAAGGTATTCCCAGTTATTCAACGCGCGAAAACTCGGGATTCGGTTCAATTTTAACGTAGCTTAATACTAGTTAATAACAAGTTTCATATTTACGCCCGTTTGCCTGTCAAGGTATATATATATATATATAAAGTTAATATATATATGGTTATATATAATATAAGGTAGAAGGCGGAAAACATGACGCGACGTGTCGTCGCGACTCCGCGCCAGTGTGAGTTTAGCCTAATAGATAGCTTTTTATACTAGTGATTTTAAATATAAGCCGTTAATTTCATATTTAAGTAAGTAATTATGTTTTGTACGCAATAATTGTAAATCAGAATAACCTTTTTATTAAAGCTAGTGATGTCTATTCCATTAATGATTGTTATATTTACAATAAATAAATTAATAATGATATTTTTAATTATCAAGGGATGGTGTTAGGGATTACGTTGTGAAAGATGAATTGTGATTTTTGTGAATTTATAGGTTTTTATTGTTGTTTATTATATTGTGTAAAAATAATTTCATTTATCGTTATCTTATTGGCAACTCGAATATGCTCGAATGATGTTTAAATCTGATATAGAGTTATGTGGATATCGTTTTTAAAATTTAACAATAAGATGTCCAAAACTGAGCTAAAAAATAAAAAAAAATCTGTAGCGTTGTGCTAGAGAATTGTCTATTATTGTATCTAAGTTAATGAGAAAATAAATATGAAGGGCCCTACTGCGTTTTATATTTTTTTCTCTTTGGATCTTTCTAACGTGGGACGTAAGACTAAATCAAGAAATAAGTCTATAATGGTATCCCAACTACAAAACTCTACCTATGCCTCTACTATAACTATCAGGTGAAAAATCATCTATTTCTTTTTTAATTTTTTTTTTTGTTATAAGAGGCCAATACTCTGTTTATTTTATTTCGATATTAGGTATGGTTTTTAGGAATCAGTCATAAATAATTACTTGCAGATCGAAAGAAAGCTTCATGTAGCTATAAGGGATATTTTTTATTTTTTAAGTACTTGTTAAGAAAATGATAGAGTTGGTTTAGTTACTTTAGGAATTTAGTCAGGTGACTAAACAGATTAAAATATTGGCTCAGAATAATCAAAAAAGTGGTACCTATTGCTGGAAAAGTGTTTCAATTGATTATTTGTATTTAAACGATTAAATTTGATAATTTAGAATGAGCAAAGCAACATTCTCTTTGATTATTTTTTATTTAGAAATTTGTGTGCGTTCTGAGGCATGTGTGTATAGAACCAAAAAAAAAATAGGTTTTAATGTCCTATGTTAATGTTTTACCAATAACATAAGTTTATAAATTAGACTTACCTAATATACTATTTTGATAATTTACGAATATCAATGCTGTTTGTATTTTTTAAGACTTTTTTGTTAATAAAAACATCCGAGTGGATGTTATTATTTTATGAATAACAATATTCATTTCATTAAGATGAAATTCAATCATACACAAACATGTTTAGTGTGATTTACTATAATTAATAAAAATCATGTATTTGTAACATACATTTTGATAAATTATGTTTGTGTGTGTTTTTTTTGATAAATGTATCTTTGAACATTCCTTTAGGAGCTTGTTAAATAATTTTGGAAAACTGTTAATATATTTGTGAACACTACAGAAAGAAAAAATGTAAGACTGTAAAATTTATGAATTTTTTAGCTGACAAAATCAGTCCACTTCTGTAAAAAAAACAAATACATAATTACAGTACTGATGATACATAAATTGTATTTTCTTTTCTCTCTTTTTTTATTCTGCATCATTAGAGAAGGTGAGTATGGTTAAGGTAAGGTCAGTAATATGTATTTATTAAAAAAGGTCAGTAATATAAATTAACACCTGTTAATTACGATCTAATGCCTACTGCTGAACCAATTAAGTTGGATTTGGATATGAAGATAAGAGGGATGTAAGATTGGAGGTTAAGCAGTTATAGGATAGGTGGCATGAAATTATAATTTCGAGCTCCTCATTGCTTCGGAAATCACGTTAAGCAGTTTGGTCCTGGTTGTATCTAGATTCGTTAGCACCCGCCAAGAAGCTTTATAATTATACGTATTTAAAAGTAGGAAGAGGAGGAGGTTTTTTCCTCCGAGAAATCAAATTCGGGTGGGGACCTGAACCTGCCAATCATACGACAGTGACAGTAAAAATCATAATGGCTTTTCTATTTTCTAAAGCAATCATGAGAACTAATGCCCACTCCGGCTAAGTCATCTTTATGTCATTAAAGTCAACAAGAGACACCTGACTCCGTAATTTTTCTATATATAAGAACCAAATCTCTCTTAGATTTTGCATCAGAAAATTCCAATTACCAAATTAAATTTTTATATAACAAATATAAACACACTCAGCCTTGGCTCCTTACCGTGTTCCAAAATCTGGAAATATTAATATAATTTAGCCATAAATGTTCTCAAACAATATTTTGTAATAGTTTATCGGAACCTTAAACACAATCATTTATGTAAATGAAATCCTATTTTGACTCTAATACTTACCTAATGCAATGCCTTTATTCAATAAGTGAGTGAATGGAATGGAATACGAATCCAGTGTCATGCATAAAGCTATTGTAATTACATAGCCCTATTGGTAATTAAAGAGCCTGGCCTTTGAAATGAATACTTGTAACCGCTGCCGCGCCGTTGGCTGGTTTCCTATCATTGATTGAGCAGGTAAAGGATTAGGCCTTGTAAATGGATATAATGTACATATCTTTAACACTGAAATGACAAAGGTTTATGAACTAGGCACTAGAAATACAAAGCATTTGTATGTAGCTTTTCCAAACAATAAGTCCTTGTAGATTAGCGCGTTCGGCTGCGATCGTTGAAGTTAAGCAACTTTCGCTGTGGTCAGTCATTGGATGGGTGACCAAAAATTTATTATCACGAGTTCCTCCGTGCTTCGGAAGGCACGTTAAACCGTTGGTCCCGGCTGAATATGCAGTCGTAAGCACCGATCAAACAGCACTGGGCCCCTCGTGGTGGGTCATGACCCAGTCTCTGTGCCCCAGCAGTGGGGACTTCAATAGGCAGATGATGATGCGATTGTGCATGTAACAGATAATTTTATAAATGACTTTCTCGTTGTGATATTGTTGTTGATTAACTACGAAATGCTTTTTTACCATACAATGCTTGTAATCCCGTTACTAACAAAATTTATTATTATGATGTTAGTGACCATAAAAGGTTAATAAGGATAATCTGGTTCAATTTATTAGCAACATTTTTCATCAATAATAAAGTTATAATTTAAGTAATAAAAATATCAAGATATAAAAATTCTAATAGGCTCTATTACAGGAGTTTGATTATTGAAGCTGGCTGTATATCCATCAACTTTGCAAGGTCCACGTGAAGATGTTGAATGTCATTAAATACGATATTTCCGAGTTTTTCGTGGGCATTAGTTCTCTCAATATCATCATCATCATCAGCCTATTAATGTCCCCACTGCTGCGGCACAGGTCTTGCGTATGGATGGAATAGGGAGTTTTCACTCAATATGAGTGTTGTTAACTATCAGAATGGACTGAATAATAAAAATAAGACGAACGCCATTGCTTAGGGCTGGCACTGACGTCACGCCTCGACGGTCTGATGGATGTGCAGGTATCACACGTCGTGACAAAACCTGCCACATCACGTGTTATGGCATTCTGCAGAAAGCTAATCTAGTTCGCTGGAGTCTTCGCCGCCCTCGATTTTTTTTAAACACCAATTATCCTAGCCCCCGCAGTAAGCACTGTAAGGCTTGTGCTATGGGATACTAGAGTAACGGATAGAATACATATACAGTACATATATAAGTATATATATTTATAAAGAAATACATATTAAACATCCATGACTGGAGTACAAATGCTCGTATTCATCACACGAAACATTTGCCCCCACCAGGATTCGAACCCGGGACCTCTCGAGTCGGCGACACCATGAAACCCGGCGTACAAACCACTCGACCACGGAGGTCGTCAGAGATTCAAACTTCAGAATCTAAAAAAACCTAAAGAACCTTCAGAGGACCACGCGCGCTGGCCTTCGGTGTCACTGTCTAACTGGGGCCACAATTCCAACGCGCACAAAGAAATTTAGTGACTCATTTCTTTGTCGCACTATCCATAAATGGAATGCTCGGCCTGCTCACGTGTTCCCTCCTTCTGACCACCTGGGATCCTTTAAAAGAGGCGTGAAGAAGCAACATGCAGACCGGCAAGGTGAGGATGGCTGGTGTGGCAGGTAGAACTGCTGTACCAGCTATCTTCACGTCTGGACTTCACCATCACTTAAAATCAGATGGGGTGGTCATTTGTCGGACCTATCTATGAAAAAAAAACTAATTTAAATTAGTTACCAGTCATATTCTTTTAGCGTCCAGGAGTGAAGTATGCGTCTCATTAAATGAAAAAACATGACGATTTGCCATCCCACGAAGCTTTGTGCTGCGGCATGACACGACCAACGGTCTCAGTGAAGAAATAACTTAATCAGAAAAACCAAAATGAGTAAAGTGACCGATTGAAAATTATTATCGGATTCCAGATTATGCCACAATGTGTTCCCACAGAATAAATCAACTTAGGCATGTTTTCTATGCTTTCCTTTTACTTTTAGTTTCACTGAGAAATTACCTCTCAAAGAAATGTTAAATTTTGATGCTTATACGTAAGGTTTAATAAAAAATGTCAATGTTAAAATAAGTGATTTTTATTTCATGTAACTTCATCTATTTCCAAGCATTATTGGCGTTAATATATTTTTATATAATCATAACTATACAACAAATACTATTATATATATTTTTTTATTATACTCTATCAGCCAAAAATATAAAACTTTGGTTCCTAGCTTATTACTTTTCTTAAAATTTAACAATTTAATTTTCCTCTATATGATTAACATATTTGAGTATTAATTTTTGTTTTTTATTTATAACGATATTTATTAATAACGCTGAATTTTAATTTTGATGTTAATTTAAGTCCAGTTATAAAACAATAGGGACTAGACCACCACAATGTTCAAGCATGTTTTACCTAGCTAGAATTTAACATAACAGGGAACTAGAAACAACATTTCACCATTATCACATGATTCAATCATCCAAGATGAATATTTACACGACCACACGGATGTTACAGCTTAAGGCACACATTACAAGCTGGCTTCAAGCCTAACCACATCTATTTACAAATTTGGCCCCAACATAATGATATCTCGTAAATCAACATTGTAATTTTCATCTAAAGGCTAAATCACACAAAATTAACTATCACTACACTCTTTTAAAATAATTTCTTTTTTGAATATATTATTATTTCTAGAGCCTCTGACAGTCTTTACGTAACATATTGCTTTATGGTCACATCACAACACTGTTTCGGATGTAATTTTGGAAATACCTCATGGAAATTTAAGAAAGTTTTCCAAGTGACAGAGATCATCGGTATAATGCATCAAATCGTCTATAAATACTTCTAACAAGGCGATCCTCAATCATTCTTACGTATATCACAACATCATCCAAGTATGTACACACAAAACGTTATACATAGAATAAACCTATATATTTTTTTCTAAAACAGAACTTGGGTTCTAGAGCTGGCCAAATGGCGTGAGTTCATATTGTAATTCGTAATATTTTATAACCATTTTAAACTGTTTCTCACTTAAAGTCCGTCACGAGTCACGTCCACTTGCCAAAAGTCTTTATCGAGGTCGATACAGCTCCCAATACCCACGTAGCTTATAAACGAGATACTTAGGGGCGTTAATGTTCAGTCCGGGACAGCCGGCGGAGTAGGAATCACGCCTTCTTCTTCCCTTTAGGATTGTCGTCGACGAATATGTCTTTGAAGTCGTTGAGTAGTATGTCGACGACGTTGTTCTGTTGAATGCAGTCGATGGCGATGTTGTGCGCTTGTTCCGCGGGCGCCCACAGTAACGTGGGGCCAAATACAATCGCTAGGTTCGCGGTGTGCATTCTGTTACGTTCGCTGTATTGTGTTACCCTATAAATGAAGAAAACATGTTATAAATCTAGCAGTTTCCATGGTTAATAATAAAAATATATCTAAAATCTATCTATCTGTCTTTTCCTTTTGCAGACATTAGTGTGATAGATTTGAAAATAAATCTGCTATTTTAGATAACTTCAGAAAGGTCTTTGCACAAGCTATTGAATCGATCGGTGAGGGTCCTAAAACATCTACTACATAACCATTAATGTTTTACAAAGTGTAAGTTTAGAAATTTGAAATGGAAACTACTACGTAGTTAAATTTATTTGAAGTTAATGTAAATTTCGACAGTTATAACCCCTTTTTTTAATTACTCTTTAAGTAATAACTCACCGTAAAAGATGCTCTAGCAAGAACTTGAGGGTGTCTCTATTACATTGTGGTAGAGCTTGCACTATGTCTCGAAATTCTTTTATCTTCGCTTCTCTTGGTTTTATTGCTGTAATTATTGAATAGAATTATGAATTATTACTAACATCATGACATTTCAAATTCCCAACCGATGACCAAAGTACTTTTTTGGTATGTATGAATCTCAAATTGATATAATATCAAATTCGTGGAGATAAATAGACAAATCTTCAATAGATTTGACCCTTCTTGTAACAAGAAAATAGTCGATTATAGTAACTTTTTCTTTGGCATGGGTCAGATGTATAATTAGAAATGATCTTATCAGATTTTGTAGGCTTGGTCGGTTCAGAAGTTGGGTCACACAGAAGTAAGTTACACTTTTTGTAATCAGAATAACGCACACAATGTGCCATATTCTGATATGATTCCTTAACCTTAAAGCTAAATTCATAAACAGTCTCACGTTTTTTTCTCTATTGATTCTCTTAAGATAAGGGCATAATTACTATTTCCAAATTTAGTTTAAGGTTTATTGATTAATGCCCAATATATCTAAATTTCAATAGATATTTCTCAAATACAGTAGTTAATATGGCAGGACTAGTACGTACAACAAGCGGCGAGGATCCTATCGAATATATTGCAGGGTATGAGCGGCTCCTTCAGTTCCCTAAAGAACAGCTTCAGCGAGCCCGTCAGCACGTGGATGTCCGTATTGCTCTCAATAACTGACAGGTTGTTCTGGTCGATCTGGAATAAAAATAAAGCAATTTGTGAAGAAAGAAAATTTGGGTGATGAGTACAAGTTATATAAAATTTGAAATCGTTAAATCAAATAATCATCATCAAACTATTAGCTGATAGGGATGGTATATGGAGATTAGGCCATGACCCACCACGCGGGCGCAGTGTGGATTGGTGGGTGCTAACGATGGCAGATGGAGCCGGGACCAACGGTTTAACGTGCCTTGCGAAGCACGGAGGCGTTCAAGATAATGAATTTATGAACACCCATCCAATGATCAGCCATTGCGAAGGGTTCTTACCTTAAATGATGGCAAATTGAACGCGTTAATTGTGCTATCGAGTTCCTCAGTGTAAGAGGAAATGTAGATGCATATAAATGTATTTCATAAAAGATCTAAAGAACTGCTGGGGGAAACGTCAATATTGCTGCAGCAAGCAGACATTGGTGTAAAAATTTGCAGTTAGCATTTAGCACTGAGGTACATTTTTTATAAAATAAAAAATATACGGACGAATTGCGAAACCCCTCCTCTTTGAAGACATTTTTTTAAGAAGTTCTTTATTTTTACTCCTAGTCGTATCTTCTGGATTTGGCTCAGGTTTCCAACGGCCTGGTTCAGTTCGTCGGTGCAAAGTTCTCTTCGCTACTCTACGCATCTACAGTCCAATATGGCACTTTCTAGAAAATGAAGAAGGCGTCTTGTTCTACATACCTCTAGTCGTATCTTCTGCACTTGGCTGAGGTTTCCACTGGCCCGGTACAGGCCGTCGGTGCATAAGTTCTCCTCACTGCTCTCTATCTCCCTCACACACGCGGCCACGAACTCTGGCACGCGCGGACTGGTGGCAGGACACACTTCTTCCAACTTGCGGCCGAATACTGGTTCATCTGAGGAAGATTTTGATATGAAAACAATGAAATTTCGTTCTATAATAAAACGTAACGCAATGCAGAGTCGGCTCAAAACAAAGGGGTGCTTTACACAAGTAGAATTAATTAGCGGTAGTCAATTAGCCTGTTACTCTTCGATCAACAATTCTATAGATAACGGGTCAGCGCGTAAAATCCGTCTCGGTAAATATCAGGCGCCAGACAGCTTAAAATGGCTTTTTAATACTTTTATATATGTTTCTACGTTTCGCAGCCTTTCCATGCAAAACGATTTCAAGAATATAATTTTTTAATATTTTTGACGAGAATAAAAATCATACTCTTGAAAAGTAGACATATTTATAACAGTATTAAAAAACGCTTTTAAGTCCGTTGCAAAGTGTTTTATTTAATGAGTGCTGTGCGTGGAAGAAGAAATAAATACAAAGATTTACGTCATTTTGAAGATATTTTTATTATATCCAAACACCTAAAATGAGCACTTATAAAATGTGTTTTTGGCAGATAAAAAATCGCGTGCGGATCCCTTTCTGGATTTTTTTTAAGTTTTCTTAATTTACTATATATCACATTAAAGCCTTGTTATCTAAGTTGAGAAATATTGAATACCACTAGTCGATTGGCAACAGGGACCAGATTAGTTCACGCAGAGAAGAATAAATAGTTCACAAACTATTTAGTTCTAGTCTAAGATCAGTTGAAGTACAGAAGAACAAATAGTTCAGAAGCTATTCATCTGAAATAGTTCTAGTCTAAAGTGTTGTCAGAACTGTCAAATATCAATACAAACCTTAACGAGGTTCTGCTTAAAGGTGTCTCTAGATTCTTGAAAACGCATATTTCATTAGTTATTGTTTTCTAGTTATGCCTAATTAAATCGTATTTTAATTAATGTTAAGAGGGTTGCAAATAAGCATATGGCCCGCCTGATGGTAACCGGCCACCATATACTATAGAATAAGATGCTAAGCGATACCCTATTGCCTACCCTTTTTTTTATTTATTTTTTTGTAACGCAGGCAAAAACTGTTTACAGACGACGGCGCCTTTAAGAGGCACACCGCCGAACAGACCTCACACCTGGCTCCCGCAAACCTTACGAGCCCCCACAGTGGCTGCCCAAGACCCCGTAACTCTTACGGGCGCTTGACGGCATAATATCCGCTAAAAAACCCTGCGAATACCCTTTAAGCTGCTTAGTGCGAAACCGCGGGATTCCGTTTAGGGATTCTTCCGTGTCTCCGCACCCAGCAGCTTCCCGGCCAATATTACCTACCCTGATTCAATCCCCTACCCCGCGATGCCCTGGATCCTCACTCATCGACAGAAAAACAACACAACCAAAAGCTAGTATTATTTTAATGTGATGTTCTGTAAGGTGAAGGTTTCCTAGATGGACGGTCCAATTCCAGCGGGAAATCTGCTATGCTTACCTCACTTATTTTTGCTTTTCACTCAAATTTAAAATAACTCAGATGTTACTATATGTATTCGTTTTGGAGGACAATATGCAGAATTAAAAATAAGTAGCTTTTAGTTAATCGATGTTTAAATTCATTAATTTAAACATCGATTAACTCAGTAACTTTTTTTATTTTGATATAATAACTAATTAATTAAAAAAACTTCCCATCTATGTATATATGAAGTGAAATTGAATTCTTAAACCAGTTAAACATTGCAGTGTAGGTATAAATATCTAAAGTGATTATTTTACTTGAGAATCTGCACTCTAATACGTAGAAACAAATTTTAACAGTGGAGAAGTAATTTACAAAACGAAGTCAAGGTAACACAAATTAGGAATTTTTCTAATCGATTTAAATAGGTACAGATTTAAAATCATTTGGGATATCACATTTTTGCTAAGAAGACATGATGTTTACAATAATCAGTACAAAAATAAAGAAAAACTAATCACTCATAAATCCATGCTAAAAAATAAAAAAGTCACTGCAAGAATAAAAACCAAATCATAAATGAAAATATTTACAAGTCACACAACCATCCACCAATCACAATACTTAGTTTACTTAATGTAATGTAGAAAGGTAAATAAAACACCAAACAGTAAATAAAATAAAATTTTCATTAAACACATGCAAAACAATAACTACTTACTTTGTTTTGTATATCTAATCCTAAAGGTGTTAGATAGCTTTTACTAATAGTTATTTATTCCTTAAAAAAACACTCTGCCGTTTTTATTTAGTTATATAGATAAATTAGCTGTTTGTTATTAAGAATGAAAACTTAGACATAAATTTCCAAAAAATCTAATATTCGACCATATTAAAAGAGTTAGATTTGGAAAATCCACCAAGTTCCCAAATAGTTGTTATATAAATTATACAAAGTATTACTATGTAACAAATATACAACCCTAATATTCTAATTCAAATTAATATTACAAGTGTCACTATTAAACTAAAACGTAACTATCTAATTACATAACTAAAATCTAAAACCACACACCACCAAAATCCTAAGTTATACCGGCATTAACCTCTCAAAGCCAAACCATTTAAACAAAAACTTGTAGCATCTACCAAACTAAGATCAAGTGCAAAATGAGAAGTGTCACACTAAATCATATCGAACCTTTGTAGATTCCTTTCTTGACTAACACCTCCATTGCTGGTCGTTTAGGGAAGAACTTCCTCAATATACTTCTGACGTGTGACTTCTGGATAGACGCTTCAGTAGAGTCGCTGAGATCTTCGTTGCTGCTGCCGCCAGCTGCAAAACAACGGTTTGTTTATAGAAAGAAGAAGCGGCAGACGCAAGTTCGGAAGCGAAAGAGGATAAAGCTAAAAAGTTTAAGAAGAAAACGTTGAAGACCCCAACCGTATTAATGATGGTAAGTCAATTGGTTCAGCTATTACATTTTATTAAGACCTTACATGATTTCTGTTGTTCATTTAAATTTATTAGACGAAAATCTTCTTGATTGTAAATATTATAATAACAACACAATATCCAGATTAGATACTAATGAGATAGTGATTCATATAAGTAACAATTGTCAAAACAGACGTATAAATAAATGACTACTCCAATAGAGTTCTAATAATTGAACCTAATTATAGGAATTCAACCATAATGAACTTGATAAATTATACTACGTCAGCAACTACGTCGAAACAGTTGACGCGGAACATTGTTATTAGTGACATCAAATTGAAATGATAGCAATCATACAATTATTAGCTATATTCATAATCATGTAAGGTGAGCCACAGTTTTTATGCAAGGATAAAGTTGAAAGATTAGAGAGATAACCAGTTAGATAATTTTACCAATTCATGCAGTATAATACATTGTAAATTACATACATTAAATTATTACACATTAGTTTGCAGTCAAGAGCACACTGCTGTAATAAGTCTTGTGGTTTAATACCAAAGTAACTGGTATACTTTGTACTCACATACTATAACTTAACACGAGATCTGGCAAATAAGTATTTTATCTTTGACCTAATTTCAATATCAGAAAAGAAAACTTATCAGAATGATTGTATCCGAAATATGTATGATGAGTTAGAAGAGATGAGAGACGACATCGATGAAGAACACTGCACAGAAGAAGTTAAAGAAACAACGAATTATGGAACATTTACGACTGTTATACAAAAGACGGAAAAGACGAACACAACCGATTGGCAATTATATTACAATTGAATTACCTTTGGAACATCCTTAAGCATATATCACTCACTGTTATATTTACTAAGATCGGGAAGAGCACTAGGTATTTATACACACTGTATTAATACATACATTGATCGCGCAAAACGTGTTCTGGCACCGACCAAATGAATAACACTTTCAGATATCTTATCGATAGAGGTAAAGATAAACATGTACTTAACAAACTACTCCTTGGTCGTACTGAAGCGAAGAAGTTGTTGCAATAAGTTTTTAGCTTAAAATATTCTTACATTTGTTTTTGTAAATAAACATCAGACGTATGTCTGATATTCATTAATGTTAAATGCGAGAACCAATTTAAACGAATACGTAGTGAATATATTGATTGTACTTCCATATTAATGTTTAAATTACTAAAGCTTAATATGCAGTTATATATTAAATACGAAAAGCTAGTAGGCAAACTTTTTGCACCGTTCCAGATGCCTTCACAAATATACAAAAGGTAATTTGTTATTAACAATATTGGTTATTACACTGGCTGAGTTATAATGTAATTTATGAATATTCAAATAAATTTACGTCCGCTCAAGTCCAAACTAACAAATGATCAATGTCCCCGCTACAGGACTTCCAGCAACAGGTAATCAAATCAGTGTCAATCATATACACTCAAAATTAAAAATAATGTCTTTACAGTTAATAAAAGCCAAAATAGGTTATATACATTTAGAACTGTACAATTTTGTTGTAATGTTCTTTAATTATAATTTAGGTTAAAATATTTCTTGTGTAGCTAATAACGAGATTTAAGAGAAGGTAAGCTTTGGATTCATTCATTCATTCAAAAAATATTGTAAAAACGCGTGAATTTTATGACCATAATAAAATAAATAAATATTTCCAACACTCATACCAATTAGCCTAGCCCCAAAAAAAGCACTGTAAGGCTTGTGGATACTAGGGTAACGGATAGAATAAATATACTGTACATATATATATATATATATTTATATAGAAATACATGTTAAACATCCATGACTGCAGTACAAATGCTTGTATTCATCACACAAACATCTGCCTCCAGCGGGATTCGAAACTCTCGAGTCGTATGAATCACTCGGCCACTGGGTCGTCAAAATATTTTACTTTATCCTCAGATCCTAACAATATCGGTTTTAAATAATTTCATATACTGTGAAACATACGATGTGGCCGTTTATGGTGCAGATTGTGACTAGATCCAAAAATGTCTCTGAATTTTGAATGCTTCTCTGTAGGACTCTTCTTTGGTTTTGCTTTTATTTTCCCTGCATCTCTCGACAACTGTGTGCTTGTTGATATCAAATGTATCGATAGAATGGCTGCCTTTTCTAACTCCATGTTGTTGTTTATTATCACTATTTCCACTTTCACACTAAATTGCTTGAAGTCACCATTAAGATTAAATGGACTCAATTACAGAAAATTCTCTAAATAAGTGTTCCAATTTATAAATCTAGTAGTTTGCTGTTTAAAATGACACTATGATAAACAGTGTTACGTTTAGAAAATTTTATTTAAACTGAGCTTTGTTGAAAGCGTATCTGTATGGGTATCGTTATTATCAGATAAAGACCTCTTGAAATCTGGGATTAACAATTTAATCGATGATAAATATATTTACTCTTGTGATAACAGATTCATATTATTTGTTGCAAATAGTGGTTAGTTAGGACATTTATATGAAAATACCAGACATTAAGACTCCACTAATACTAAATATGCTTTTATATAAAGCTTTGATATCTTTATTTCGTGGTGCACCTTTGAATATGTAACATCATAAGAGATTTGAGTCGCAAGGAGAATAATAATAATTATGTCTAAGTTTTCATTTCTAAAGCAAAACTATAAAATGTTTGCTAAATATTTTATCAAACTTTTTCTAGACTCATCAAAATAAATAATAGATTGGGGCACTTAGAAAACAAACCTACAAATGATTTTACTAATAAAAATGAATGATTTGGAAATAATAAAGGTTAATTAAGTATGAATCGTAAAGTTTAAAACAATAATATCTATCCTATTACCTAATGTGTTTTTAACAAATTGAACTAAAATACTCAATATGTTACTGAATAAAAGCTTGAATAGACAATCAAAGACATCTTACACGAATTTGATAATCGGTAGCCATCTGCTTTCATACATCCACAGATTGCCATTACACTTCTTGATGATCAAAGATCACACAAATATAATTGATCGTACGTACATAAACAACACTCATAAAACTTTAACTAAATGACAAAAAATAAACAAAATCGAAGCAAACACTACGAAATTAACTCGAAGCACACCAACACGAACTACACCTAACTTCTAAATGATTGGAATAAGGAAAATTAAGTCCAAAACTCTAGTTTCCTGGGATGATTTGTCATTATTGAACTGACGACAACGTCTAAAATGGTAAACAACTACAGCTCTTACTAGGAATTGTGATCAAAACTGTTCTTCAAAAAATCCGAAGTTAAACCACAATAGAGAATTTTTCACCGACGGTTTATATATTATCTGTACATATTAGGCGTATTTTAACTATATCACCAGTATTGTATAAATCCAGTTTTGAAAAAATATACATGAAAGAAAAACAAATCAATTTGTAGTCTCCCGTATAAATGAACTTACCTTGTTAATATTGACCAGAACAACATCAAGTAGGTTAGCAGAAAGAAGCAAAATTCAATTTGATTTGGTTAAAAAGAAAGAAAGTGAGCTTAATTTTATATGTTAGTTAGGAAACAATTATTTGAAATGAAATAATATACTCACTTTTTAGCAAAAAATTTATTGTAAAATTATCCTCCATAGATTTTATAAAGGCCTTTGACAATGTTGTGCTTTGGTTTACCTTGAGGTACTCCCGGTCAAAACTATCAAGGAATTTTAATGAACAATCTTTCTTCCTAGAATTTAGAAAGGCCTTTGACAATGTTGTAACTTTGTTTACCTTGAGGTACTTTTAATTCGTCGTGCGCGTCTCTTGATGCAGTTGTAAGCAATCTATTTTGGCGGACAAAAAGTCTACGGACAAACTCCCTCGTCTGCGCAAGTTTTAAAAATCCAGATTAAGAATGGGGGAGTTTGGCAAAGCATGTATTTAGATAAATGCCTCTGTCCAAGCAAGTGCCACCGCTAACGTGCTGAAGATGGAGTGGGGGCAGGGATACTTTTTGGCGGAGTGGTGTCCAGGCTAGTGTCACCTCTGTCCAGTAGATTGTTGCCTGTGTCTAGGAGAATCCCACCACTCATTAGGGAGCGTTACCTCTGTCGGAGCGGACTCCAGGCTAGTACCACCTCTGTCTAGACTAATGCCGCCTCTGTTCAGGCTAATGCTGCCTCCGTCCAGGCTAGTGCTGCCTCTGTCTAGGGGAGTATTACTGTTCATATTAGGGGGGGTAGTTACCTCTGTGTCGATTAGCGTGTCTGGTGGAGGGGGGAGTGCGGCCGATGCTGTCGAGGTCGGTTCCACTGCTCAGGTACTGAGGCTGGTATTCTTCAGGCATTGGTGGACCCTGAAAATAATGCTTTTATTATTTACGATCTCTAAATCTGGTCCACCTGACAAAAGATTTATACCTAATAGTAGGCAGATTTAGGTTGAAGTATTGAAGATGTCTTAACTGAAGTCCTACAACTAGATAAAAGCCGATAATCCAGCTCGGGTAATATCATTAGCATGTTAATATTTAAGATCTTAATGCATTGAAAAACAAAGGTCGACAATGAGCTGGAAACGAGGGATGTCTTAATTTTGATGTCCGTAAAATAGCTTTGAGGCCCAGCAGTGGGATATAAGAAAGCTGATGATGACTAGGAAGTTTTCTTACCAGTCTGTACATAAATAATGAAGTCTAGCATTGGGGGTTGGTGACATTTAAATGCTTATATAATAATAAGAAACATTTTTTTTTGACGACCAACAATGAGAAAATGATGTTTTCTTACCAGTTTATATATAATATTTTGGATGTTGATGAGCCATCTTTTAGCGCCTTCCTCGGTCTCGTCCTGCAGCAGGTACTGATCGTAGCCGACGGTCAGCACCATCGACTTGGTGAATCTGAAATATTTATGGAAACAAAAATAAATTATTTTAAAGATTTTTAATATTTTGGTTCTGGATGCCTGGTTCGATTTATTGGTTCAATAAATTCAATTCAAAATTTGCAGTTTCATAGTAGGTATATACCTCATATTTCTGTTTTGCGTTCTTCATCTTACAGAGTGTATGCTAAATGTAATTTAGCAAGATTTGAAAATATGTACCTAATTAAATATAGTTTTTTATTTATTTTTTTCACCTTTCATTACTAATTAGAAATAAAGAGTATAATATATAGAAATAAACTGTATAATTATAGCAGCTGTTTCATTACTAGTGCCCAATTGCACTAAGGCTCCTTATTCAAAATTAAAAAGTAATATTTAAAGCTTTATGAATTAAGAACTTTAGTGAAAGAAGGCTTGTATATTTTTGTCCAAAGAAGGCTTGTGTATTTTTGTCCAAAAAAGAATTTGTCCACGAAGGAATCCGGAATGGAGAGGATGAATCCGGGTCCACTGAAAGGACCCGGATTCATCCTCTCCATCCTCCTCCTTCCTTTTCTGAAACTTTTCTCTTTCTTAAAATTCAATCAAGTCAATCATCATCGTCAGCCTAATAATGTCCCCACTGTTGGCCTTCCCTATGGATATAATAGACTGGGCCATGACGTACCACGCAGTCCCATTGCGGATTGGTGGGTGCTAACGACTGCAGATGCAGCCGGGACCAACGGCTTAAGGTGCCTTCCGAAGCATGGAGGAGTTCGAGATAGTAAATATTTGGTCACCCATCCAATGACCGACCACGATCCAATGACACAATCAAGTAAAAGTGAAAGATTAAATCAATGTGATATACCTTCTGGTGTGCATCTGTATGCAGTGAACAACGTGCGCGTTCCGCAGCGGCAAAACTAGTTCTGCGCGCGGAGCAGTTGGACTGGGAGGAGTTCCCACCGGCTTCGGGATTCGCTGCAAACACAAATATAATGAAAACCTTAACATACTTAAACAGCTTTGATATCTCCTCTAGCAACACTGGTGGAAACAGGTGATTTGCAACTGTACCAATAAAGGTTTTTTAAATATTTGAGTGTATCTAATCCCTATCAAACGAAACGATGTGATCTAAGCTGGAGCTTGCGAACTCAAATAATGCCTAGTTACTCATACATTGATGAACCTTACTGAGCTATAAAAAAATGAGAAACATTAACGCGGGAAGGGAATTTTACTTCCTAGTGGTCTAATACAGAAGGATGCGAATCGTAAAGTACGCAATGGATAAATGTCAACCACGTACAGATGGTCACTGCATAAGTCTCGTAATTTTCAGATTAAATTCCACATTTTTTACTATATAAACAAGGAGTTGAAATAAATAAAACTACATTTTACGGGTTAATGCACGAAACTTTATTTATTTATTGACGTTCAATAACGCTCAATAAAAATCTTTCGAAGGTAGCTCGACAAATTAAATAAAAGTTTTTATTCTGACGACGAAGCCTGTAAAGGCTACGAAACGTCAATAAATAAATAAAGTTTCGTGCATTAACCCGTAAAAACTAGTTTTATTTAATGAGTGATGTGCGTGAAAACCTAAGAAACAAATAAGGAGCTGAAACTTTGCCTTTCACAATCACTACACTAATGTGCGCTAAAATAGGATGATCATTATTTTAGACTAACTAAACTGTTTTCGTACGCCTATGAAAATCTATGCAATCGGTTTACAAATCGGAAACGCAGACTCAATACTGTAAAGAATCAACACAGAACTTTTAAAATAAATATAAGTAGAAGGTATTTATAGATTCCATGATAAATGCATATACAAAAGATAGAAGACATTCTGTGAAGGCGATCTTTTGATACACAATAATCAGCGCAAGAGGCACCACACAAAATCTGATGATACTTTTTGTAAAGTCGATATTCTCCAAATACCTTTCTCTCTTTTCTACCCATATCACATCCCTGGCTGCATCTCGGCCTGGGATTCCGATGAGCTCATTCCACTTGTACAGTAAATTCTACAAATTATTCCTGATCACCAATCAAATAGTTAGCTAGCTAATTATGGGAACAAACGAGTAATAAAAAATAAACGGTTAAGAACTCACAGTGGCATGATACGTCTTCTGGTCCTTGAAGAAGATTAGAGCTGTGTGCGTGAGAACCATGTAGCAGTCATTCCAGTTCTTTTTGCTCTTCTTCCCGCTCTCGGAAAACTTGGTTCGTTTCACTATGCCCTCCATAACGACCGGCGCCTGGAACACGAAGGTCTAAAATTGAGGATTATTATAATCTTTTTGAATGGATAAATTTAATAATTTAGAGTGATTATTGATAATTTCGGTTACCGTTTGAATATGTTTGTCGGATATACTGGAACAGAGATATAACTATCGATTTGAACAATGGTTATTCACAGTTTTTTATTTATGGAAACCCCTTAACTTTTTGAAGCTGCACGGCCTTCTAACTGATGGTACAGGGAAAACAACCTTTTTCACAATTGATTCATATTAATAAACATGTTATAATGCAATTAATATTCAAAATTCAAAGAGCTTTAAATGTATAACGACACATACCTCGATGATATCATGATTAGCTGTAATTATTTAACGTTACAAATATTTGCCCCAATTTTTGCAGTATTTAAATCCAGTATTTTTAAATCACAACTACGTCTCTGTTTTCAACCTGCTTTAAAGCTCAAGCGAAGAAGCTATTTCTGGGCAAGCTTACATCATCGAAATCTTTTAATCCTAAACCTAGAGATGTAGTGTCTGATCAAGAAAAACACCATTTTAAAAAGTTGTTGTCAATCAGTCATATTACCTCAGAAGGTTGATGTAGCAGCAACCTAGGCGCCGGTACGGGGGACCTCATGCGGTGCTTGGGTGCCACCATCGACCTGGACTTCCTGCTTTTGATGTACCCGGGCTCATGCTCGCGGACCTCCACATTGTCCAAGCTGTCCCCGGAGGAGGACGCGGGAAGCTGCAAGTGGTTCGGCCGTCGAGGAGGGAACAGAAGGTTCTCCGTAGAATTGCCTGTAAATGGGGTGAAGTTTCATTTAATAAAAGTGTATTTGGAAGTGAAACTTGTTTTCAGACGGGGTGTAAATGGAAAAATTTACACTTTTTTAATCATCTGGAGCGAAAGCATTAACGTTTGAATAGTTATGACTCAATAATATTTATATTGTATTACACAGCAATCAAAATGTGAGTGGACTTTGTATTGTTAGTTAGTGACATGTTTTTATGTGTGTTGTGTTGCTAATTCTGTCATCAGCTCAAAGATCTTCTGAATTGGTAGTAGGAAAAATAATAGAGGATTCAAAAGTGCTTTCAATAAGTCAATTTGAATAAAGAATCATTGTGTCATTTCAATTAAGATGATTGCATAAGCTGTGTATATCGGCATCCATAGTTCATGGTCCTCCATAGCTCTAATTGTGTCTAAGTAATTTATAATAAAGATTTGTAACGACGAACAGGTTTAAATAGATTTCTGGAGCTTTATTCGAGGTTTACCCGATGATAGTGAGATATCTGTATGCGAGAACACAGAAGAGATTATTTCATAATAATGTACTTTTGGTAAACGTAGTGTAGGATACCCTGAGACAAGATGGATGATGACATTCGTAGGCTGGCTGGAGTGGGCTGGATGAGAGTGGCAGAAAATTGGGCGCAGTGGCGTGTTTTAGGGGAGACCTATGTCCAGCAGTGGACGAGCATGGGTTGTTGATGATGAAGATGATGATGATTAATGTACTTTTGACTCTTACCCAGTCTCTTGTTGATCCTGACGAAGGGCGGGCTGTCGGAGTTGGCCTTGCTGAAGCTGCGCTCCAGGTCTGCGCGGCTCCGCTCCGACGTGGGGCTCCAGTCCTGCAGCTGCTCATATTGACGCACCGAGGATTTCACTGACGCCGGTTCCTGATCCTGGAATTGAAAGGTCCAAATGAAAGACCGTAATTCGATTATCTGAGATGTATACTGCTCGGAATATTTAAAAACATATTCTTTATAAATGTATTTAGTTTCCGACAATTTTTCTCTATATAAACACGATATATTCCTCGGCAACGCCATCTAGTTCTAAGTGCCGAATCATCACGCCATCTAGTTTCTAATACCGAAATATCTCTTAGTTGTTAACAAGCCACCTAGATTCACTAAGTGACTAGATGGCGCTGTTGTAACAGGGGCGTTTTTTGAAATCAAGTACCGCGGGCTTCATACGATTTGAACTAGAATTAGTAAATCAAATCAAAATATAGGTCAGTAGCGAATGCCTTCATAAGGTTTCTGCCATCCATAGCTATTTCAGCCGCCCTTCGCAACCCGCCGCCCTGGGCCATGGCCTTTTTGATTCTAGGATAAATAAGCCCTATGGCTTAGATTACATTTTTTTCAGTTACTGTACCCGACTGGGAACAGAATGATGTATGAATTTTTTAAACACATTTTGTAACATTACATTGATCTTTGATCTCGAATAATGTTTTTTCCATGTACCGGAACGATGGGGAATTTTGATATGTTATTTTTAATAATGTTTAGAACAATTGTACTCACTTTCAGTTTAATGTGAATTTATGCACCTTTATTCTTATTGTACTGTCTAATTTGGCCGGACTATAATGGATTGCGACAAAAATGTGTATGAGAAGAGTGTAGAGGAAACCCAGCAATCTTGCCCAGGTGAGAGAAATGAGCCAGCTTTCAAAATTTGTATTTAAATTGAGCACAAGCAAAACGTCAATTTGTTCATTGGTCACATGCTCACATGCTAGACTGTTTTGTTGTGACCGGCATCTCGCATGTGACCAAAATACGAATTAATTATTGACGTTGTGTTTCCGTTTAATTTAAACACAATTTTGAAAGATGGTTCAAACACTGCCGGATTTAGGGGAGGGCAACCGGGGCGAAAGCTCCGGGGCCTCCACAAACGGGGGGCCCCCACAATAGAGACTTCGGAAAAAAAATCGAAATCATCAACGATTTTTCGGCGAAAAAAGCTCGAAAGGTTCCGTTCGTTAACTCTAAGATTTAATTTCAGATAATTCTTGTATCCGTTTATATTTATATGTGTTTGTTCAATACTAAGAGAATTTACTAGGTTCACAATAAATTATTTATTGAAAAACTAGACTGGAAAAAAAAATGTTTACTTTATATGGAAAATAATTTGGGGTGAGGGGGCCTTCGCTCCTCTGTTGCCCCGAGGCCTCTGGACCTCTAAATCCGGCCCTGGGTTCAACTCTCCCGCTTGGGCACCTGAACAACCTCTTCCGGTTTTAATCAGCATCAAAATTATAATTGATTTATCAAACATAGATGGCGCAAATTTATTTAAACTAAAAAAAAAATTACGCTGTTATCCCCAAGTTTTTAATCTTTTAATGAGGGCAACGCTCGTGTTGGATAATTTTAATTAAACGAGTATCTTAGATACCAGTCTTAAGGTTAAAGGCTAAAAACAAAAGTGGGTAACGCAAAAGGTGTTACACAATGAAGCGGTACAACTCTTTCAATAGTCCAAGTTTTTTTCGCAGAACATTTCAGAACTATGAAAAACGAAATTTCTGTTATTCAAGCGTCAACGAGTAGTTAATAAATCATCACGCACCCAGTCCCCGTAACATGAGCATCACAATTTACATTATATCACGTTTTTAATCGTGTCTAACTGTCAAACTCCATAGTAAGTTGACAAATGACGACCTCCGTGGCCGAGTGGTTGGTACGCCGGGTTTCATGGTGTCGAAGACTCGAGAGGTCCCCGGGGTTTCGTCCCAAAGTAAGCACTGTAAGGCTTGTGTTATGGGATGCTAGGGTAACGGATATAATATATATACTGTACATATATTAGAAATACATATGATACATTCATGAGCGGAGTACTAATGTTCGTATTCATCACACAAACATCTGCCCCCACCGGGATTCGAACCCGGGACCTCTCAAGTCGGCGACATTATGAAACCCGGCGTACAAACAGCTCGGCCACGGTTTTTTTTGAGTGTGTATGCTGTTGGTCGCAGATGACCTTTACAGCGTCACCGGGTTTGGGGACGGCGAGATCCTAAGGGGACCTCAAGCCGAGAATTGGCGAGTGCCTCTAGAGGTATTCCAGGCGGATGGCGTCTCCCCACGGTGGGAGTCTTCTCTCCGTCTGGAGCCTCTAGACCACTCGAACCTGAGGGGGTCGGCTCAACTAGAGGGCGTCTCTGAAACTCGGACCTCGGCTCTAGTTAGCCGTTGTCGTGGGGGGCGACAACGGCCACGGAGTTCGTCAAACATGTTTTATACATGTATTTATGTGTGTACAAAAAATGAAAATATTGTATACATAATATTAAATAGATGACCTTGGTTTAAACGAGGGATTATAAAACCTACTCTCATGAGGGTCAACTTCCAATCAAAACAACCAAACTACTGAACACAAAACATAAAAATTACTACAATGCGAAGAGATGGCGCTGCCGTGCAAGAATTCGGCACGGCCATCAGGGCCGCGGTAGCATAATGGTCAGTGCATTCGCCCGGATAGCGTAGAGTATTGGTTCGAGTCCCGTCGTCCGCGTGGAATTTGTTCTAGTAATATTTTAGATAAGATTTCTTTTTTCATCATGCAGTTACATGCATAAAAAATAAAAATTATAACTATAAAAGTTACTGGTTAAAAAAAAGCCTATATTCAATGCATTGGTCATAAATATATTTCAAGGACTGTAAGGATTTCACTGCAAAATAATTAGGTAGTATTTAAGGAAAACGCGAATTTAATTAACCGTTCACTGAAACGAAAACTGCCGGAGGTTATCAATATTGCCAACAAATATGCAACATTGTGATATATTTTGAGTTGTCAGATAATTAATATATATATAATATATATACATATATATACTACTTACTAGAGGAACTCAATGACGCAAGTAGTTAGCGATTTCGGTTGCGATCGTTGAAGTTAAGCAACTTTCGCAGTGGTGGGTCATTGGATGGGTGACCAAAAATTTGCTATCTCAAGCTCCTCCGTGCTTCGGAAGACACGTTAAGCCGTTGGTCCCGGCTGCATCTGCAGTCGTTAGCACCCGCTAATCCACACAGGGCCCGCGTGGTGGGCCATGACCCAATCTCCCTATTCCATCCACAGCGAAGGCCTGTGCCCCAACAGTGGGGACATTAATAGGCTGATGATGATACTAGTTACTATGCGAACGCTCGTGAAGAATCCCACTTTTTAAATTATATTGATTGTTTGCTTTTAATAAATAATAAGTATAACTAAGTTTTTCTTAAAATAATTAATTTGTACAACGTGCTTATATTTCTAAAATTGACTCTCGAACGCATAAAGTATTTGTTAACCAAAAACTTTTAGATGTTTCTCGATTTGTAACTTTATGATTATGGGCCACAGAGTCCTAGTACGGATTCTCCGAAAACGAACGAACGAATTGCATTGCGTCGTCAAAGTTTATATGAAAACAAAGCAGCGCCCCTTGCGGACGTAAGAGCATACTGGCTTCTTCCATAAATTAGATGATTACGATACGTTACAGAGCTTTATAGCTATTAACGGGATTGTTACCATGTACCTTGTTTTTTATGAGTATCCGATATCTCGGCACTGTTGCAAGCGCCATCATGTACCTTGTTTTTTATCGGAGACTCATAAAAAACAAGGTACATGGTAACAATCTCGTTAATAGCTTTAATGTTAGTAACCATGACAGTTTAAAACAATATATCGTTACAGAGCTGTCAGAATTCATGCTTGTGCTTGATTTTGATAACCTATTATATTTCGTAACTCAGCTCTGAACAAAACGCGTCAGGGATAGCTGCGCATGGGTACGACTGGAGAGCCAATCGCCGCAACGCACGCCCACCCGCGCACCTCGTTTCCCCCCCAACACATCTTAATTTTTACTTCCGCGCAATAACGGTCAGCGCTAGAGTTTCGTGCTAAGACCAACGATATTAAATGCCCTAGATACACTACGAGCGCTCAAAATGTGTCCCAATCAAGAAGTGCTTGAACTCCACTCAATCACTTCTTGGTTCACAGTCACGCGCGGACCGCGGTTACAAAGTCAAGATGCCACAGAGCTCCGCGAAAAAATGCGAAAATAATACTTAGAGTACGAAATGTGTCGTTTTTTCGACAGGTATCTAGTCAATGGTTGTTAATTTAACGCATTTGAAGTAAATTTTGATGTGATACTTACTATAAACTGATTTAATATAAAATATTTGTGATATTCAAATGCATGGTCGGTTTTACGTCGCCATATAGCCTTCTCTTTTCCTCGCGGTCCGTGCCTGCTATATTGCTAACAGCGCGTTCAAAATTGCGCGTAGAGTCAAGGAACTAAGGTCTGAATTCTTCCGCATATAGCAATGTCGTAAAATTTTACGAGCTTGCATTTCGAACCGTCCTTGACGCATGCGTTTTATTTAAGACCTCATACAGTATGTATTAAAGATGACTTTCAATATTTAAATATGCCTTATATTGATTTTGACTACGCGATCATCCGTGGATGGTTCAATGTACCTTTTGGACAGGTTTCGGGCACGATTTTGTTCGTGTTGGTGTATCTAGGGTATTTAATATCGTTGGCTAAGACTTGCGTAACCTACTCTCAATTGATTCATTATTGCAGTACTTAAATTTGAGACCTGATAAGGCTCAGTATTAAATTAATATCACTTTATAGATTACTAGAGATAACAAAACAACAGTAGTACAAGCATGTTTTATATATATATATACATGCAATGTGTTTGTTCATATGATTGGTTATCACAATGTTTATGACATACATTTCGACTTGATATTTGCAAATTACGTTATCTGAGACAGTTACATGCTATCAATGTGTTGCTTGTGTTTCAATACATTGATGAATATAATAACGCCT